CATTGAGTAAATATCTTCACGAAATCTGGCTCTAAGGCTTTTTCTTAACTAGTGATTGATCGGGGAAAGCCCGGCCCATTGGGGGTGGTGCTATCCCTGGGCCAGTAGTCCTGAGTTCCATAAGAAAGCTGGCTGAGCAAGCCATAAAGAGCAAGCCAGAAGCAGCACCCTCCATGGCCTCTGCATTGGCTCCTGCCTCCAGGTTCCTGTCCTACTTGAGTTCCTGCCCTCACTGCTTTTGATGATGAACTGTTAGACGAAATGGTAGGTGAAATAAACCCTTTCCTCCCCAACTTGCTTTTGGTCAAGGTGTTTCATCAGAGTGGTAAGAACCCTAAGACAGAGGTCTAAGGCAAGACAGTGATTGATCGGGGAAAGCCCGGCCCATTGGGGGTGGTGCCATCCCTGGGCCAGAGGTCCTGAGTTCCATAAGAAAGCTGGCTGAGCAAGCCATAAAGAGCAAGCCAGAAGCAGCACCCTCTATGGCCTCTGCATTGGCTCTTGCCTCCAAGTTCCTGTCCTACTTGAGTTCCTGCCCTCTCTGCTTTTGATAATGAACTGTTAGATGAAATGGTAGGTGAAATAAACCCTTTCCTCCCCAACTTGCTTTTGGTCAGGGTGTTTCATCAGAGTGGTAAGAACCCTAAGACAGAGGTCTAAGGCAAGAAGCCATGGAGACACGGAGCAGAACAGAAATAAACAAGTGGTACCCTGGGTGTAGGGTGGGGAAGAAGAGACCAGGGAGGTTTAGATCAGGAGAACAGAGGCACAAGAAGAAGTATGGCACAGGAAAGAAAGGAGAAAATGGTGAGAATGGGAGGAGCCCACCCACAAAGCCCCTCTATGTCACACAGGGACATTCCTTAATTGTGCATCAGGACTAAGTACCTTGGGGAACTCATCTAGTATGAGTCCACCACCTAGGGAAAGGAACACTGGAGAGAGGTCTAGGAGAGCTAGCCTTGCATCCAAAGAGGGACACACGCATACAAAAGCCACAGCCTGGAGACCCTCTGTGAGTCTTGAGGTCTTGGATTTGATCTCAGCATAGTGTGTTAAATGGTATTCATCTTGACAGGCTGCTCTCTCCACGGCGGGAGTAGGTATGGCCTCTTCTCAGTGACACCATCTCAGATGCTGGTAGTGGGAAGAGGCACCTCAGTCATCCTGGAGACACACAAAATGGTCAAGTGAGTAGAA